ACTTACACTTATATACCGCTTCACAATGCTTTACAGCCGTCTCTAAGCAGTTTACAGAGTCAGCATCATATTACCTCCAACAATTTGGGTCCTCATTTTTACCGACCTTGGAAGGATGGAACTGATGGCACTCAAAAGTATTAGCCTGCAATTCTGCATTCTAAGTACTGCAGCACCAGATATAGAATAGGTGATAATAGATAGATAGATAGATAGATAGATAGATAGATAGATAGATAGATAGATAGATAGATAGATAGATAGATAGATAGATAATAGGTAAATGAGAGAGAGAGAGAGAGAGAGAGAGAGAGAGAGAGAGAGAGAGAGAGAGAGAGAGAGAGAGAAGATAGATAGATAGATAGATAGATAGATAGATAGATAGATAGATAGATAGATAGATAGATAGTGGGGTAGAGCAATGGCATTTGCACTTACACTTATATACTGCTTCACAGTTCTTTACAGCCCTCTCTAAGCGGTTTACAGAGTCAGCCTGTTGCCTCCAACAATTTGGGTCCTCATTTGACTGACCTCAAAAGGATGGAAGGCAGAGACAACCTTGAGCCAGTCAGGATCAAACAGCTGACAGTCAGAAGAATTAGCCTGCAATACTGTATTCTAGCCACTGCGCCACCATGGCTCTTTGGAATAATCATCAAGGTATTTCATCATCATCGTCATCATCATCATCATCATCGAGTTGGAAGTCGGGTCTTCTAGTCCCACCCCCTGCTTAAGACCTTATGCCATTTCAGACAAATGGCTGTCCAGTCTCTTTTTAAAAACTTCCAATGTTGGAGCATCCACAACTTCTAAAGGGAAGTCCTTCCACTGATTAATTGTTCTGTCAGGAAATTTCTCCTTAGTTCTAGGTTGCTTCTCTCTTTGGTTAGTTTCCATCTATTGCTTCTTATTCCGCCCTCGGGTGCTTTGGAGAATAGCTTGATTCCCTCTTCTTTGGGGCAGCCCCTGAGATACTGGAAGGCTGCTATCATGTCCCCCCTCGTCCTTCTTTTCATTAAATTAGACACACTCAATTCCTACAAGCATTCTTCATGCATTTTAGCCTCCAGTTCCCTGATCATCTTTGTTGCTGTTCTCTGTACTCTTTCTAGAGTCTCAACACCTTTTTTACATCGTGGTGACCAAAACTGGATGCAGTATTCCAAGTGTGGTCTTACCAAGGCCTTGTAAAGTGGTATTAACACTTCACATGATCTTGATTCTATCCCTCTGTTAATGCAGCCTAGCACTGTGTTGACTTTTTTGGCAGCTGCAACACATGGCTGGCTCATATTTAGGTGATTGTCCACTAGGACTCAGAGATCCCTCTCAGTTGCTACTATTGAGCAAGGTATCACCTATACTATACGTGTGCATTTATAGAACCTTATTTTTTCACTATTGAATTTCATTTTGTTAGAAAGCACCCAGTGTTCAAGTCTGTCCAGGTCCTCCTGTATCCTAAGCCTATTTTCTGGAGTGTTGGCTATTCCTGCCAGCTTGGTGTCATCTGCAAATTTGATGAGTCCCCCATCTATCGCCTCGTCCAGATCGTTGATGAAGATGTTGAAGAGCACTGGGCCTAGAACAGAGGAAAAATCTATACAGGTAGTCCTCATCCCATGACCACAATTGGGACTAGAATTTCTGTTGCTAAGCAAGGGGGATGTTCCCTGTGTCATGGCCCAACTTTATTGCTTTTTTAAAAAAAACCGTGGTAGTTAAATGAATCACTGCAGTTGTTCAGCCTATCCTGCTGTTGTTAAACAAATCCACTTTACCCTGTTGACTTGGCTTGTCTGAAGCCAGCTGGGAAGGTTACAAATGGTGATCACAAAACTCTCTGCTCTTTTTGTATAAGTGGTTATCTCAAGAAGTTTATTGTGGGAGGGGGAAAAAAATCTGATTTTAACTGAAGTTGATTAGTCTGAAATCGCCCTCAGTCTTAAAGCTTCTTGACTCTGTTGGGATGTTTTGCTTTTTTAATCACTAGAGGGAGTCAAAAACCAGAATATTGCTTCCCAAAGATGCTGCTTCAGGAGACATGTGGACTTTCTTTTGAAAAATGAAAAGAAAAACAAGAAGGTCTAGTT